GCAAGTGAATTCCTGAAGACGGCAGTCAGACCTAAGCTTCAGTGAGTGTGGAGGAAATGGTGGAGGGGTGGTAAAGGAGCTCCTGTTGGAGGTGAGACGCATCCGTGACATTACATCCCGTGAGCACACACCCCATGGATACAGGAAACCCCAGTTTATGCCCGCTGATCCCCTCTAAGGACTAATCACACCCCCTCTCACTCTCAAAATTGTCCCAATATAGAAGGTTAGTTATAGTCTTCCTAGCTATAGCGACAGCAGAGCTCTCCATGGAAATCAACATCTATTAAGCCCACAAATGCTTACCTTTTATTTGTTAGAATACAGCTCTTAGAAAACGCATCTACCTTCGCCTAAAGTTCTAAAACTTTGAGGACTTGTTCCAAGTGAGTTAAAAAGCTCAGGAGTCTCTGGGTGGGGATGCTGGGCTTAATACCTAGGTGATGGGTTGATCTGTGCAGCAAACCTCCACGGCACACATTTACCTAGGTAACAAACCTGCGGATCCTGCACATGTACCCTGGCACTTAAAATAAAAATAAAAATAATTTTTAATGATTTTTAAAAAGCTCAGGAGTACAAAAACCTGAAACATCAAAGCTGTACCCTGGGTTGGGTGCGGTAGCTCACTCCTGTAATCCCAGCACTTTCAGAGGCCAAGGCACGCAGATCCCCTGAGGTCTGGAGTTCAAGACCACCCCGGCCAACATGGTGAAACCCCATCTCTACTAAAAATACAAAACTTGGCCAGGTATACTGGCCGGCATCTGTAATCCCAGCTATTCGGGAGGCTGAGGCAGGAGAATCGCTTGAACCCGGGAAATGGAGGTTGCAGTGAGCTGAGATCGTGCCACTGTACTCTAGCCTGGGCGGCACAGCAAGACTACGTCTCAAAAAAAGAAAAAAGAAAAAAAAAAAAAGCTGTACCCTGCCAGGTAGGATTATGGGGCTGTACCTCTTAGTTACAGGGGTGTCTACACTTTCTACATCTGTGGAGCAGGTGGGATCATCAAATCGCACAGTGCAGGAGGTACCATCTGCATCTGGTACATGTGAGTAGCACCCCCAGAGCTGTGTAGGGGACACCAGCTTGGCACTAAGCAGCTACCCTGGAAAGTTCAGATTCCCGAGACAACCCAACCAAGGGTCCTGATGTCCCAGGAAGTCACCCAGTCTTTTGTTTCCTCCCCAACAGTCACTTCCTGAAGCCCCGTAACCACGTTACACAGTCAAGCTCCATGCTACTGTAGTCGGGACCCACAGAGGAAAGCCCCTGACTGAAGCCCACATCCCCGTGAACCCAGAACAATACCGTAGGTATTCTGGCAAGTGGAGTTTGTCCGCCTTGGTGACCACAAGGGCCACGTCCCTACAGAAGCCCCGCTGGCAGGCTTTGATGCTCTCATTCAGAAGGTCTTCGTGGGCTCGTCCCCCAGAAACTCGCTCTATGTCGCTGATCACCCAGATCACTGAGCACTTGTCAATAGTCTGCAAAACATGACCACAGCATGTGTCAGCACAGGAATGGAGTCACAGTTCCTGAGGACCGATTCCCTAATGTATCCCTTAAGCCTCTCCCTCACCGCTCCCCACCACACTCTGTGCACTAGCTGGACTGAGCTACGTGCCATTTCTCATATGTGCCGTGTTCTGTTAATTACCTGGCCACAGTCTCTGCCTAGCCCCCACCTGTCCCTCAAGACTGTGAAGGACCCCTCAAGCATGGGCTAGTCTCTGCATCCTATAACACCTGGACTTACCTCCCGCATCGCCTCTGAGACACAGTGACTGCACCAGGTCTGCTCTCTGCCCCCTGATGGGAAGTGACTATCTGCAACTTTCCTCTTGGGATCCACCTCACCTCAAGCCCAGTGCTTAGCACATAGGAGAGGCTTCATAGTAGTTTATGCCATTAGAGATTGACAGAATTCCCTAAATCAGTCCTCCAGTCCCAGTCCCAGATCCATCACTGGCTTGCTTTATCTCAGTTGTCCCCTGGGGAAAATTCTTGTTTTTCCAGAGCTAAGTTTGGTGGCGCACATACCCCCAAGCTGTCACCTGACGGCATCATTTTGATGTTTGACTGCCCCTGCATGTTTAGTACAATGCCACCAGATGGCAGCAGGGAGCCAGAAACCATATGACAAGTTGCAAAGAACATGAAATAACAACATATTAATGACATAAATGCTGCTTTATTAAATATGCAACTTTCACGTGATAATCATGCATAGCCTTGTGACATTTCTCTAATTGCATTGTTATTCTTGTCTTACCTCTACATAAATGAAAATGTGGTTCAACTCAGGGATTGAGTTCATTTGTGGTTCCTCAGTGCTTTGCATACGAAGGGGTGACAAGTTTGTGACTTGATAATTAAATCATCATTTTGCTTTATACCAGTAGTATTTAACTGGTAGAGTTTTTGTGCCCCAGAAGATATAAACAGTCTCCAACTTATGATGATTCAGCGTACAATTTTTCTTTTCAACTTTACAATGAGTTTACTGAACGATTGGTAAGTCCAGGACAATCGGGACTAATGATGGTTATGATTCCAGCTTACAGTGGGCTTATCAGGATGCAATTCTATGGTACGTCAATGAGTATCTGTATTTGGCAATGTCTGGAGACATTTTTACTAGTGACAACTTGGGGGGTACTTGCACGTAAAGGCCGAGGATGCTGCTAAACACTCTTCAATGCCCAGGACAGTCCCACTCCCGCCCCCATCCCACAGAGAATTATCTGGCAGCCCAAAATGTCAAGAGGTTGAGAAACCTTGATCCAGGGCAGTGGGTTTCAGCTTGCTTTTGGCAGGGGAGACTTTTTCAAATGAAATCTTAGTTAGAATTCCAACACATAAACTTGATTTTTAAAAAGCAGAACTGTTGTGGTTGAATTGGGAGTGGAGGACCCAGAACCACCATCTGCATAATACCCTCTACCCTCTGTCCATGAACCTTTTGGCTCCATAAATCATTGCTTAAAAAGCATCAGTTTCTCGAGTTAGGCAAATCCCTTGGATTATAGGGAAGTAAATGAGGCCCAAGTGGTAAAGAGACTCGTATAGGGCCACACGACGATGGATCCTGTCTCTCCTTTATACGTGAATGGACTTTGACTTAGGCAAGAAAATAAAAACCATTACAGTCCTTTTGCTTCCCAAACTATAATCAACTTAGAAAAGCTTTGGGCTCTGGGCCAGATGTGGTGCTCACATCTGTAATCCCAACACTTCAGGAGGCTAAAGCAGGCAGATCACTTGAGCTCAGGAGTTCAAGGCCAACCTGGGCAATATGGTAAAATCTCATCTCTACAAAAAAAAAAAAAATATATATATAGCCAAGTGTGGTGGTGGGCACCTGTAGCCCAGATCCTCGGGAGGCTGGGACAGCAGGATTGTTCAAGCCCAGGAAGTGGAGGTGGCAGTGAACCATGATTGTGCCACTGCACTTCAGTCTGGGCAACAGAGCAAGATGCTGTCACAAACAAAACAAAACAAAACAAAACAAAAGTAGAAGCAGGTTCCAGCTCTGCAGTGTCAACAGTGGGCAGAGAACGGTCCAGCCAGTGGAAGGCCATAAGGATGCCAGGCTGGGTGCTCCTCAAGGGCAGGGCCCCCATCACCTTCATATTCCCCTTGGTCCTGGTAAGCCACAGGTGCTTAGTGTTCACTAACATGAGAAAAGGACAGCAACCATAAAGGGTGGAGTGGTTAAATTTCAGACCCCACACAAAGCTCCCCACTGCCAGGGTTTGGTAAAGTTAGTGTCGCAGAAGATACAAAAAAGTTTTTCTATAAAACCAGAACTGCCAGACGTAGGAGTAGATGAGATGGCACCCCACCACCGCCACCTGCATCTCCCCAGGCCCCCGCGATGAGAATGGGACTCAGAGGGCTTCAGAGACATGCCTCAAGTCACATGACTTCTAAGTGGCAGATCAGATTCAGGGACATCTGAATTCATAATGGGTTTTAGGGAAGGCAAGGCTGGCAGCCTGACAGACATAGGGAGGGCGACTGTCTTGTTCTCCCTGCAAAGAGTGGGGTCTTGAGTAACTTCTTGTGAGAGGAGGTCAAAAAAACCCACAAGAATGCAGGAGAGCCGGGCCAGGCAGAGCACGCTGGGAACCATCCCTCGCTTCAGCCTGACCTCTTCAGAGCACATTTTCGGAGCCAGAGCTGCCGGCTTTGATAAGCTGCCCAGTGTATCTGAACTGGCTGCAGCCGCGGCTCCGTCCAGGGAGAGGCCCTGGCAGCCTTCCTGGGCTGTTGCTCTCTTGGCCAGGCCTGGAACTAGCCAAGGTTCACGACTTCCACCCCAGGACCCGAGGTCTTACAGAAACTAAGGCTCACAAGGCCAGGCCTGAGCCACCGACCAAGGGGAAGGACACAGGGACTGCCTTCCTCCTACAGGAGGTGGATAAAGTACAGTGTGCCCTGGGGGAGGTGGGGTAGACAGAGCCCCAGCAGGGAAGTTAAGAAACCTGCTCTCCAGTTCAAGGCTGTGTGGTCCTGGACAAGTGACTTCCCCTCTCTGAGCCTTCATGTCTTCATCTGTACAATCAGGGCAGAGGCTAGAGCTTGCTCTAGATTGTGACTGGAAGCCGTGGTCAGCAAGCTCCCCTGGCGCATAGTCATTCATCTAAACAAACCTGTGGAGTTTAAAGAACTGAATTCTTCAGCAGCCGCTGTGCTGCTCACAACTCACTGATGCGGGTCCTCGCTCCCAGTCCCCTTCCAGCTCCTGGGCTTCTGTGTTCCTCCCACCCTCTGCTCCAGAGTGCCTCTGTTACCGTGCCCTTTCTCAATCACATGCCCCAGTCCCTCTCTTCCTGCAAGTTTTCCCAGGAAGCCAAACTCTGGAGCAGTAATACTAAAGACCTGGAACTTCTCCAGGCATGTCTTCCATAGTCTCCCTCCTCCACCGACCCCATGCTCCTTCTCCCATTCACCCAGGAAGACTCACCCTGCCCCGGCCACACCAGCTTCCTCAGCCCTCCAGCTCTGTGCTGATGCTGCTTACAGTCAACACAGTTGCAGTCTCTTGGGTTGTGGGTGACTGGCTGCAGCTTCTCTTCTTTATCCCCAACACTTGGCCTCCCAGTTCCACTCTGTCCTTGGTCACTCTGATTCCTCTTAAGCCACTCTATTGCTGATCTTTCTCATACATCACACACACTTGTCCCGGCTCCAACAGTCACGTCCTATAATTCCTCCCTCCCTACTTTCTCTGGCCACCATATCCTGCCAGGGCCCTGAGACTTAGAACATAGAAATTAGAAGAATTTAATTCCAATGAGCTCATAAAATCCCTGAAGTTGAAAGCAGAGCATTCTTTGTCGCTTGAGAAAGGGTAGAGGAGTTGAGGGAAGAGAGAACTAAACCTATGAAAGACAGTCACCTTTTTCCACATCTCATCCCTCTTGCTGTTGAAGTCGCCTGTGCCTGGGATGTCCACCAGCACGACCCCTTCTGGGATCAGGTCGGATTTGGGAAGAGTCACTTCCACATGTTTGATCAAGGGCCAGATGTGCATCTCAGTGGCCTCTCCATCCCAGTCTCTCCTCTGTGTGCGGATGTAGGGGTCCAGCTTGATGGACAGCTCTTCTGCCTGAAGAAGAAGGACAGAATCACACACGCCAGCCATGTTCCCAGCTCTGTTCATCCTGGTTGGCTGTGATGCAGGTTCATGGTAAGTATGCTTAGTAAGGGTAAGAAGTGCATCCGACAGAAGGCCTGAAATCAGGTCTGTAGGACCTAGAACCTGAGAGCCAGGAAGGACCCTGGAGATGAGGAAGTTCAAGCTCCTTACCTTACAGATGAAAAAAAAAAAACAAAGTCAGCTAAAATGTGATGTTAGGGAAGTTATAGCATTGCTGAATAATAGGTTTATCTTCTAAACTGCATTCAATTCTGAAATTAAGGTAATATGTAATTAACATTTTCATTATCAGAAAGCTAGCAATGACTATAGAAAATTAACAGTGATATGGTAACCATATTTTCCAAATTGAAAATTGACCTGAAAATGGATCTTAAAAACAGTTTTTAAAATTTATCTTCCCATTACAAAAAATACCTTGATATGTGGGCATTTCTAGGATATTTTAATGATGGTGGGTGAGAGAGGAAATAGTTCTTAAACCACAGTTTCTGCCTTAAACATGTCTTGGGACAATGACACATCCATGCCAGCAACTATGACAGTAAATCTCAACTGGGGTACTTCAGAGGACAGAGGATTTGGGATGTATGGTGGTCATTGTTAAACAAGTTTCTATAGAATAGTCCTGAAAGAAAGACAAGAATGTCAATTCTTAAGAGAGTTTTAATTAAATCGCTGGATTTGTTGCAGTCTGGGTAAGGAGTAAGAGATTTCACCAATTTCAACCAAATGATAAACAGCGAAAGAGGAGATAATAAAAGTTCTTTAAGATATTGTGATTTCAAAATAGAGCAGATACCGTAAGAGAGAAGTCCAGGAAAAGGCATGGGCTTGAAAAGTCTCTTTCTACTAGAGGGCTAAGCCCAATAAACTGGTTCCGGGCAAACATCATTATAGAAGGCAAACTCGGATTCTAGGATCTCCAGTGGAAAGCCTGAATTTGTAAGCTCACTCATTGAGATGGTAATTCTGTTCACCTTGTTTCCGTGGGTAAATGTATGATGCTGGGAAGGAGTATTTCTAAATATAGAGTTGGTGAAGACATTGATATCCTTGTGTAAGCTGTGTGTATTCAGATAAAGTCACTAGTTTTGTAATCATTGTGTTTCTCAGACATGCTCAGTTTATGTTTTAGATATTAGAAGTATAATCATTTTAATAGTAATATTCATCTTAAAACTATAAGAAATGGGCACTATGTCTGATTTTCCAGATATACAAGAGATAGCAAAGTGCTTTGAAAAGGTTTCATTCATTTGATTTTTAAGTGTGCCTAGTCAAGTATTTAAACATTTTAAGAGACTCAAATATACTGAACTTTAACCGTATGCAAAAAGCCTAAGGAAATGTGATTAATTATGTAAGTATCATGGAATATTTAAGGAAGGTTTGCTTTGTTAATCAGGAGATAATTGAACATTAAACTTTAGGACACGTATAAAAATTGTACCCATTTTACCAACAGTCACTAGATTTATAAATAGAATAGCAATATTTTAAAGGTGTATTTAAAGGTGAGAGATACAAGAAAAACTAGGTTTTTAAATGGATAGCTTTCCTAAATTGAATGTTGATTCCACAAATATTTTATTTTAATTTAGAAATTGAATTTTAACTTAAAATAAACATTGTTTATAAAAGCAAGAATACTACTAGTTGCCTATCCAATGTCCATCCTGTTCCTCCTTTATGCCAGCAGAATCCTGATTTTCTGTCTGATTGGAAAGGCAGTGGAGTGAGACTGGTCTAAGCAAATCATGACAAGTCTGCTTTTCACTTTTTCTGGACCCCCTTTCAGCCAAGAAGGGCCATGTGGCTCAGTTCTGAACTCTGAAATCTACACAGAAATTTGTCAGAGGTATTTCTGGGAAAGTTTTTACTTTCTCATGAAAGGGGAGATGTGGCTGATGCCAACTTTTTCTCCACTTCTTCCTTCCAGGACGCTAGCATGAAGTCTAGCACCTCGGGAGCCATCTCATGACAATGGGGTCGACGGAAGGCCAAGGGAACCAGAGATGCTGATCTTGACATTGCTGAGCCACTAAACCAACCCCACCCCTATTGCCCCCAAACCTCTTACATGAGAAAAAGAATAAATCCCTGTTTGTTTAAGCCACTATAAGTCTTCTTCAAAAATCACTGGCAGCCCAAACTATCCCTAATTATTCTCAAATAACTGTAAATAGTCTTCTTTTGTGCACAAGAGCTCCTCCATTCACATACTAAAAATTCCCATTTGATAGCCATAAATAATGAGGATAACTTGGGCTATGGATACTTCTGACTTGGGTAGCAACTTATTTCTTATTTCACACAAACACTGTACCACGAGCCCGTCCCCTGAAACAGATTCAACTGTTAGACAGCAGACCCAGAATGAAATGAAGGAAAAAACGAACTTGACGCTACCTCTTCCGCCTTGAGGGTGATGACTCTGGAGGTGGGGATCTTCCTTTTGGGCTTTGCCCTCAGTAACTCCTCATAGTTCTTACTTTCTGCCCCATTTCCATAAATCATTTGTAGCTTCCAGGTGGCTTCCTCCACTGCCTCATCCCTGTTCCATGCATCTGCCTCTTCTCTGCCCAGCTCCTCCGTCCTGTGCAGGAGTTTAGTCAGGTTCTTCAGCTCCTCCCTCCACTCCTGCCAAGGCAGAGTAGGGCCAAGCCCCTCTTGACACAGACACAGAGAACACCGACAAACAGAGGCGCCCACTGCCCCCTGTGAAGGGCCAGGGGGCTGCATATTCAGAAAATCTAGGTCATCTATCTGGGGTCTCGAAGAGGGAAATGGCTTGCCCAAAGTCTCATAACAATGCAAGGACCAGGCTAGACACCCCCAGCTCACTTGATTGAACTTTCTCCTGGGATGGGCTCTTTTCATTAAACAAAGGCACGAACTATATTTGCAAGGAATATAATGTTATCTCTGAGAGATAGTGAGAAGGAAAGAAAGAAAAGGAAGAACAAAAGGAAGGGAAACAAGACAGAAAGGAGGGAAAGATGGAGGGAAGAGGAAGGAAGGAAGGAAAAAAGGAAGGAAGGAAGGAAGGAAGGGAGGGAGGGAGGGAGGGAGGGAGGGAGGGAGGGAGAAAAAGAAGGAAGGAACGGAAGGAGGGAGGAAGGGAACACTTACCTGGTCAGACAGAAGGTGGATTTTGGCCTCATACTGTGCACAGCAGCCGGAGCTCACTTGTACAATGCAGGAAGTACATATGCTTTCTCCAGACACCGGTAGAAACATGGCTTGCTGGATGATGGCATTGATCAGGGAGCTCTTCCCAGCCCCGGTGCTTCCAAATAATCCAATGTAGATTGGGTCTACTGTCGGCTTTTCAATCAAGACAAGGAGCCTATTTCTGGGTGAATTTTAAAATGTACATTGTCATGATCATCAAAGTTTAGAGTGAAAAGCATTGAAACAGAATGCAAAGGAACTGAATTCTAATCCTGGGCACGTCACTAAAATCTTCTGAGTCTCTGTTCTCTCTTCTGTCAATGGAGAATATCAATCTCTATTTGCTACACAGAGCTGGCCTGGGGATCAAATGAGATTATGCAAAAATATTTGGTAATGATAATGCCACGCAATCCCAATAATGTCTATATAGATGTGAGGCATGTTTATTTGTATTCACTGGAAATCGCATATTCTTTGTTTGTTTGTTTATGTGTCTGAGACAGGGTCTCGCTTTGTCACCTAGACTGGAGTGCAGTGATGCAATCATGGCTCACAGAAGCCTCAATCTCCTGGGCTCAAGAAACTCTCTCGCCTCAGCCTCTGAAGTAGCCGGAACTACAGGCGTGCCCCATGACACCTGACTAATTTTTTTGTATTTTGTGTAGAGACAGGGTTTTGCCATATTGCTCAGGCTGGTCTCAAGTGGTCCACCTGCCTCAGCCTCCCAAAGTGCTGAGATTACAGGTGTCAGCCACTGCACCTGGACAGAAATTTCATATTCTTGACCCTGGAAATACAGTGTATACAGAGGTGAAGTATTAATAGTGTTAGGAGCAACACAGAGTCTTACTGAACAGGAGAAGTTACAGCCTTGGCACCACTCAAGTCCTTCAAGTCAGCAGAGTACAAATAGTTGGGGACATAAGCTCAGAGCCACGCAGCCTGGCGTGAACTCTGGACCCTCTCACTGACCACTGGTGTGACTTCGTTCAAGTCTGGGCCTCTCTGAGCCTTACTTTCAGTAAAATGGAAGTAATCATAATAGTTCCTACTTTATAGGAGTGTTGGATGGATTAAATTATATTTCATATATATACACACACACACACACACACACACATACATATGTATATATATAAAGCACTTAGCAGATTACCTAACGGTGACAGCTCAATGAATGGCAACTATCCCATGGCAACAGAAATTTGTATCCTTCTTTCTTAGTTTCTAATTAAATAGTCCCTGTCCTTGTTGGGGGAAAGCACCTATAATAACCTAAGGAAAGACACTGACATAAGATTTCAGGGTTGCAGATTTCAGACTCACATGAGATATTTGACTCCATTAGGGATGCTATCGTCCAGGAAGACAGACTGAATAAGTTTCTGGTAAGTGTTGCTCAAAACTCTTCTGGTCCGTGATTCCAATTTTTCATCTGGAATTAACAGAGAGAGGTCACCTGTAGGTACCTGGCAGGGATAAAGTACTAGGTCTCCAAAGGAGGTGTCTGCTGAACATCGCAGAGAAGGAAAAAAAAAAATGAAATGAAAAGCCGATTAAACAAGATAGCAGGTTATCTCACACTAGGGATGGTGGCTCACTGGAGATAGCGATCATTGGTTCTGAAAATCTCCAAAGAGCCAGGCTGCTCTGAAACTCTGGTAACAGAAGTTATGGTATGCTTTGCCATGGGCTTCAGCCCATTCTAGATTCTTCCCTCCTGTGGTCATAAAAAGAAAAAAAAAGTGCAAGGACACCATGTTGACACCCACTGAAGCACCAACCTAATCATCTTCACAGGCTTTGTTCTAAGCAGGAAGAAGTTATTTTGATAACAACCCTCCTGTCCAGAGATGCCTGGAGACAAATTGCCTAACTGCATACTGCTGCAGAAACTTCCAGCCCTCTCTTTCCAAAACAGGTTCATTTCAAGATGTTTCATCCAGCTTCAGAATTTAACTTCCTCTTCCTTTGACCATTTTAACATACTTGGAACAGAACAGAACCATGTTAAAACAACAGTTTCAGGACACTCACATTCCTTAAGAGCGCTCTGCTCCACAGAGGGAAATGCTCGGAAACGCTGGTCTCGATCTGATTTCCTTCTTTTTCTCATTGGTTCTTTATATAAATCATCTTCAACTAGAGATAAACAGAGGATATATAAGATTATAGGTGTTGGGGCATGGTATTCACCTCAGCCTCTAGAGTAGCTGGGACTATAGGCACATACCATCACACCTGGCAAATTTTTGTAGAGACAGTGTTTCACCATGTTGCCCAGGCTGGTCTCGAACTTACCAAAAACACAAAATTTTTTGGATTAGCCAGGTGTGGTGGTGCGCACCTGTAGTCCTAGCTACTCAGGAGGCTGAGGTGGGAGGGTCACTTGAGCCCAGGAGTTGTAGGCTGCAGTGGGCTATGATTTTGCCACTGCACTCCAACCTGGGTGACACAGCAAGACCCTGTCTCAAATATATATGTGTGTGTGTGTGCGTGTGTGTGTGTGTGTGTGTGTGTGTGTGTGTGTGTGTGTGTATATATATATATAAAAAAAGAGGAACTGCTTCCAGCTCTGTCTGCCCATAAACTTATTTGGGAAAAAACACTGTTGGATCATTCCAGTTTGGTTCCTACTTCCCAGAGTCACAAGACTGTCTGCATTTAGTTCCAAAATGTAGAGTCCAATCTATCTCCCCAGATAAAAAGTTTCTATTTGCAACTCCTCAGAAGCCAAAGTGGCTAGACATTCTTCACCAAATGCCAAGTTTTAGGAAATCAACCAACTGTGTACAGAAAAGTTGAAGACAGGGTTAAGTGTGCAGTGAGGAAAGGCCTCTGGGAGGTCTTTTCAGACTAGGAAAGAAATCGGCCTGGTGCAGTGGCTCACGCCTGTAATCCCAGGTCTTTGGGAGGCTGAGGCAGGTGGATCACGAGGTCAGGAGATGGAGACCATCCTGGCTAACAAGGTGAAACCCCATCTCTACTAAAAATACAAAAAATTACCCGGGCATGGTGGCGGGCACCTGTAATCCCAGCTACTCAGGAGGCTGAGGCAGGAGAATGGCATGAATCCCGGAGGCGGAGTTTGTAGTGAGCCGAGATCGTGCCACCGCACTCCAGCCTGGGCGACAGAGCAAGACTCCGTCTCAAAAAAAAAAAAAAAAAAGAAAAGAAAAGAGAAGAAAAAGAAATCAACTAGAAGCAGAATGCAAAGGAAAACAGGGGCCATGTGACCAGGAAAAATCACATCTTCTTGAGCCTGAATTTATTCATCTGGAAAATGAGAGAACTGACAACAACAACAACAACAAAATATACATGCATTACAAGAGTTTGGATGGATGCCCTTCAGAGATCCTTAAAAATTTGGGGAATTTTTTTCCCTTCTTCGCTTGAAGACATCAGCAGCTGCTTCCTTATATAAGCAAGAACAGAAATCACCTAGAAGCAGATCTTTGTAGCTCTGTGGAGATTCATTCACTTAAGTGGTTTCCCTTGGTTATGAAGTGAAGGGCTGGTTCGGCCCATAATCCTAAAGAAGGGGTATAACCAAAATGTTGTGTTTTAGATAGATTTTAGAAAACACCCCTTGGTCATGTTTACCTGGCTAGAAAGGGGCAAGAGGTGGATCTTTGGGGTGAAGGTTGTTGAAAATGGTTCTAACCCAGGGCTCCTGGGGCTGGCCCATGCCTTAGAAAATGGCCATGAGGTGAACCGAAAGAGTTGATCCCCAAGAATCACAGGGAGGACATGAGGCTCCAAAACTGAGTATGGCATTCTGAGGTCATTCCCTGAAGAACCACAGAGAAGAAATGTCACATGGCACCCGAGAATGGCAGCCCACACAGAAGGCCCAGTCTCTGCCCCTGGGCTCCAGACACAGAACTCCCCGACAATTCAGGCAGCCTTCCCTCTCTGTTCAACCTTGCATCTTCCAGCACA